GTACCAACAGGTTAGTGGAAATTTAATCCACAAAAAGTAAATAAATAAACAAAAACGAAAAAAAATAATAACGTGCCTACCCTTAAAAAATGACTTAAATACGAGGATACTTAATGGTATCCACTGCATGTTTAATTTGCTCTCTCGGGATTGTTTTTTTAAAGGAAGCTCCCATATATCTTCGTAATAACTTTCAGAAATCCAATTTCCATGGTACAAAAATAATTCCACAAGTCATGCAAAGATAAAGTCGTTCTCAGTTTCTCTAGGTAAAGTAAAACACGATGTTCACCCTATCGAGCGAGAACTATCATTATAGTGTCTGCTTATGTTCACTGAGATCTTTTAATGAATAGAGACTTGACAACATTGCTGATAGGAGAAGTTCTCTTAGAAAGAAAAGTCTTCCTATTTTAAGAAATTCATAGATACTAGAACCGCGCAAAACGCTCATCTGTATATTTGATAGGAAGAATAAATAGTTGTCAATATTTCAAAACTTTGTATTACTATACCTACCTCTGTTTGTGAGAGAGGAGTCATGTACAATTTACCTACATGTTCCCATGGGAACATCTTAGATTGTCGCTACTATAATGTCGTTATATTATGAAAATATCACGTAAGACATATTCCTCTTCCTATACCCCTCAATTGCGTGTGTTTCAATTGATGAATAATATTCAGTGCAGAACATTTAACAAGGAGACAAGAACATCGGAACATTCATGAAATAAATTTCTTTACAGGACAGGATTTCATCCCAGCGGACTGATTTTTGAAATTGATAGACAAAGCAATAGACAAAGGAGACATAAGTACAGTAAAAGCTCGCTAAGTCGAACTACGGTTAAGATTAAGTCGAATTTTTTTTTTTCGATCTCTAGACACGTTCATAATGAAATGGAGAACCGGTTAAGATGAATTTCCGCCTAAGTCAAATTTTTTGTCGGTCCCTACACAATTCGACTTAGCGAGCTTGCACTGTAGTATGGAGCGATCCTATTGGTTAATTTGGGTGGTTATTACAGACTAAGGGAAAAAATGATGGACTAACTGAAGGGTCCCGCGTGATGCCGTTAGTTAATTACCCTTGTTTCATCGCAACCACCCGCTTCCACCAATAGGATCTCTGTAAATCCTTTTTGTCTTCTTTGTCTTTAGCTTTGTCTATCAATTTCAACAATCAGCTCGCAAGTTTTTTTATTTAGCGGACGGATAAAATCAGTTGAGATGAGTTTGTTGCCCTGCAATAGTTTGTCAATGCGATGACGACAGAACTAATTGTTGGGTTACAACTTCAAAGGTACGAGTACCTAGATCGTTTAGCGCAGCATTTACTTGAGAAGGAGTTATCACACTGATCACACTGATGACACTGATTCGAGTCTTATACTAAGAAGAAGTTTTGTACGAAGTCGACCCGCGTACTCATATAGATACTAATAAACGATGAATATATACCTAATATTTACAGTTAGNTTGAACTTCTTTGCATGGAAAGACGTTTAAAATAACAAAATCAAGACGTATTTAATGCAATTGCATTTATATCGAGTCAATTTCTTTTCAATAATATAACGGGATTTTTACTACCGGTGATTTGGGTATTTTAGCCCCAAAATACCTTTAAATCGACTTTATCTTCTAGGAGTTCGACAGAATTTTTCCTTTCTTCGCTTAAATTATTCCGTAGCACTTTTCTTCAAGAATCTGATAAGATTTTGCTTGAGGCAGATCAAAAAACTTAAATTCGATCGAATAGCTTTCTACTTTCACAATACACGGTCTCGTCAAGGTGCGTCTTTGACCTCGCAGTGTTGGATCGTGAATTCTCTTTTTATGCTGTTTGCCTATTTTGAAATCTCTGTAAATGAAAACTAAAGGGGTTGATATGTGCGAGTTAATGACGCGCCTTTTCAACACATTGTGTTGGAGTTCACTGCTTGTTTTTTTTTTCTTTTTTTCTTTTTTTTTTAACTTGTCATTATTATTCTCTTTAAAACTCCTTGATTTTGCTTTGCTGTTTGCAGAATACTCTGTACGCATAAATTTCAAGCTAGTAATTTGACTTATTCCATTTTGAAAAAATAGAATAAGATCAGAAATTTAAAAAAAAAAAAAAACCGCGATAGATATACGTGGTTTCACACTTTGACCATCGATAATCTTCTCTCAAGATCAGTGCGTTTGTTCTTGCGAAGCGTGATAATACAAGAAAATATGTTTCAATTCAGTCTTGCGCCATTTTTCTTTCACCTGATAATATGTGGCTCCGCTTCCTCTATCAGTATGATTGACTTTTTTGCTCCCCATTTAAAGAAAAGACCTAACTATCACAATTTATATTCATTTGAAATAGTGCTGATCAATACACAAATTATTTAAATGAAAGAAGAGAATATACATTCTAACAACAATATTAAACTGTACACAATACATCAAGGTAGGAAGATTTATCATTTTTAGTCTAATTTTTTGACTAGTTTTGCATAGTCTTCACGATTTTTTCACATAGTTTTTTTGGCATTTGGAAGATGAGTGCGGATTGCGAAATTTTTCAATCACGACACAACTGAATAATTAATGAAGTGAAAGGGGGACTCAACCTCTTTTTACAGTAAAAAACTATACTGAATATATTTTGGTTTCTTATTTTTCGAATACTTCTTGATTGGGGAACTTGTACGGCCGGTTTGTAGGTGAAGTATTACAAGATGATTTGAAATAAAAATGAAAAGTATTTGATTCTTAGATATGATTTAACTACAATTAGGATTTTAAATGAACATCATGAATCCAACTTCTGAAGCTTTGAGAGGTAAGAGTTTTTTTAAATCCCTCCATTGAAAAAATGACCTCTTTTTTATTATGTCAAATTTCTCTCGCAGTCCGTGACAACATGCACGACGTGTCCCAGACCTTTGGTACCTACTCATGTGATATGACGCTTCCAACGTCAAATCTGTACCCTTGTTAAAATACCTACCTATTGAAGTCACCACCTAATTAAAATCATTCCTCTGATTGCATTCAAATGAGGCTCATATGACAAGAAGTGGTTAAGGTGATTTGTCACGGTTTTTAGCGTGGTCGAACTGGCTTGCGATATACAGCATCGATTAATAAAGATGGCAGATTTTTATTTTTTAGCCAAAATAAGGGCAAATTAAAGCAGGATCCTTTTCGGAAAAAACGTCAAATTCGGCACTATTATCGATTTCTGAATCGAATACGAGGTATTTTCTAAAAAGGATCCTGCTTTTATATCTTTGAGGTTTATCAATTTATTCGTTTCGAATGATTCTTTAGGTTCATGCGTGAGGATAATAGTCCTTATTTTTGGCTAAAAATTTAAAATTTGCCGATATGTTTCACTTAATTAATGCTATACGTTGCACACCAGGTCGTCCAGGCCAGAAAACGTGAAGAATCACCTTGAATGTACTGTCCATTAATCGAATTTTGATCGATAGATGTGATCTTGAAGTCTAACGATATAAACATTTTCATAAGTAATTACCTCAAGATGTACCTACCTCAGGTAATGAAATCAATCAACTCGATGCTTTAGAAGACTTCAACCATCTATGTTGATGAAGCTCTCTCAAGTTGGTCGTACTAATGGCAGCTATGTTTCGATGGCAATTTTGCGAAAGGATATTAATTATTCAGTGGGATAACTATCCAGTCTTGTTGTTAATACAAGTGTAAAAAGTCTCAGCACAATCGAATTGACCGTTATTCAGGGCTAATTCTTTCAAATCTAACAGCAATGTCGAGTGAATATTTCGTCACGAAGTTCGTAAAATTTAAGAGGCATATATATTCTCAAAGAGAAAAAATCTAAGAATGTATACGAATGGGGAAAAGCCGTAATAAAAATGGCAGTAGGCAATTTTATTGGTCTAGCTTCGTAAATTTCGCATGTGATTTCAATTTTATCCGCTGCATATTTTGCACTTTCGTGTTAGTTTTCGCGACAATGTACATTTTTTTTCTTTTTTTCTTTCTTCAGGATGAATCATCGTTTTTTATGGATTTTTTTTTTCATTTATGAAAGTTGTACGTAATTTTTATAAACACTCAGAACAGAAGAGTTTCCAACTTCGTAAATTCAAAGAGTTCTTTTTTTCAATTGTTTTAGGAAGGCATTGCTAAATAGATAGTCCCTAAATACGGAAAGAAGGAATCTCAGTTCTCACAATCCTCCTAATGAGTCTCAGACTGTCGTAATTTCCGTTGTTTCAACTGGACAATCACAACAGCCAGCCTACCAACAGACATTCCAGTTGTCTTGAACAGAAATCCGATGAGATCATTAATAGGGCGACCCGAGATTCCTTGTTCATCGCATACTCAGATCAACCCGAGATCAATGGTGAGGCGTGATAATCGACAATCGATATTTTCCCATTTAAAGCAACACTATAAAGAATCGATTATCACGGTGTTCGTCGCGAACGCCGTGATATTCCCTCCTTTTCCATGGATTGTATTCGATACATCGAACAAGTGAGATTGTATCGATATCGATTGGTTCAACACGTAAACATAGCCTTCAAAGTCAATTGAGTAATCTAAGGAAACTGGTTTCTTGTGATGGATTTTTCCTTCTTATGAGTATAAAATGGCAATGAAAAGTGCAATTGGTAGGAGTTTTCTCATCTTTAGTTTTGCCCACTTATATCCTGAAATTTTCGTTTAAGGTAATGTTGTATTGTTTTGAACCAAACGATACATCGAACCACTATCGAATACGATCTATAGATTCGAATGGCAGATTCATCGATTCATCGCAAAATACGCCACGCCACTATTCTGCCGTGCTAAGGAAGAACGCCGTATGAACATTCGAGAGTTGCCAAATTTTATTCGATAAAATGTGACATTTTGAGGAAAGTTATGAATATGTTTCCTTGAAATTTTCAGGAAATTTAGACAAAATTAGGAACAAAATTATCTGAAAAATTGGAAGAAAAATCATCTTAGATTTACTAGAGAATTCTTGTTTTATCAAAGGAAATTTGGCAACGCCTGAAGGTTCATACGGCGTTTTCCTTAGCACGGCAGTATTGCAGATAGTTGTCAAACAAGAGCTGGACTGGAGAGTTTTCCCACCGCTTGACCATCTCATTATGAGAGGGTCCTGAGGATGATTCGAATGCAAGCTAAACTTAGGATGAGAACGGTGGCTTGTGATTTGGTGGGTCTGCCGGCGCTGATCTCGTTCTGCTCAGCGAAGACGTGTTCCGGCTCCTCCTCCGGGAGGATCGTCGAGATCCACGTGACATCACGATCGTTCAGGGGCTGCGTCGGCCGGTAGTTGAATTTCATCGGGCCTTCTTTCGTTTGCAGCTCGCGGAACGCCTCGATCTGTCGGGGAAAAAGAGAGAAGGATAGAGGATTAGCCAATAAAGGGCCGTTCCTATACTGCCGTGATAGCGAAGAGAGCAGTAAGTGCAAAAATGAAGATTTTAGAAAACGGGCTCAGACGCGTCTGACCGGAAAATTTTATCGACAGAAGCCTCCGTTCTTTGTCAAATTGCCACTACTCTTGCGGGGAATAAAAGAGGGAAAAAAACCAAGAAGCATGCAATCTTTAGTTTTAACCCATTTGTACATCGATCTTCTAGAGTCAAATACGTCAAATTTTGAGCAATTGGTTGCGCATACACTTCGTTGCAGCGCAATAAAAGCACAAAATGTAAAAGAAAAAATTAAAGTGCTTTGGAAATCATTAAATTTGACACGGGACCACCAATATTTAAAAAACACACATTATATTATTATTCTCCTTTGATAAATTGATACATACTTTTTTCCCATCAATTTTCATGAGAATAATCAATGCAGAGTGTGCAAACATTTCAAAATCATGAGTTAAAAAACGCTGAATGTGCGAGTATCAATATTAAAGCCTAAGAGAGCGAAGCGGCGTGCTGCCAGCGCGAGAGGCTCACTGGCGCCTACAAACCTAAGTGGATACTTCACGCATTGCACAATGCTTGAAGTATCCACTTAGGTTTGCAGGCGCCAATGCGCGTTTCTCGCTGGCAGCCCGCCCGCAGTGCGGCGGCGCCAGAAGCAACTATCGCAAAAAAGAGGTGTTGCACAGTTTTATACGAAATTGAACTTATTAAGAATGACAGGCATCCTTTAATAGTACAGATCTTTCCTCGCAAAATAAATCAAGGTACTTATCGTATACACAGGAAAAATCTAAGAGCCTTTAGCTGAGGCAAATATAGAGGTTTATCCGGTTCAGGTATAACAAGGTGGGAATTTCTTGAAAGATAATTAAGTCCTGTTACACCAAAGAGGTGTAGAGAGTTTTAGTGAATTTTGTCTCATGGAATTGACGCTCTCCCATTTTTACCAAAACTCTCAACTACATATTATTCTCCGTTGGACCAAACAGAAAAAACAAAAAAACAAGCAAACCCTTATTCTTTCAAGACATGGTTTGTATTTACATGTGGGCCAATTAACTTTGGGTCTCAACTGGCACGTGGACCAAAACTCCCGTGCCGAAAAAACGTGTGGACGTAAATTACTGGAAAAAACAGGTGCGCGGACAAAAAATCGTTGACGAAATGTCCTGTAACCGAGACAGCCGTAAGTGCTATCTTCTACATGCTTTCGCGGTAGAGTTTTGGACCCACAACAAACACATTTTCAGGTTAGAAATTGAAAGAAGAGAGTGGCACTTTATTTGAAAGCACTGTTTTCATTGGCTCTCACGCACGACTTCATGGCTCACATACGTGTTTCGTGTCTGATCGGACCCATAATCAGTGCAGCGTAGCCTCCTAAATTTTCTTCTACCAAGCTGTATTTTTTCACCAATGAATAATCAAAACCTTTTCCTAAAAATTGACAATATCGCAATGAAAATCAGTGATGACTGGCACAATACGCAATGTTGGCATTGAGTGAAGGTGTAAAAAAGACAAACAAAGCGCCCGAGGTTAGTATATCACACGCGACGAACAGTTATCGTATCTCATTATAGCGCCTGAAACCCTGAATGCAACTATTCGGGCTCCACGGATGTCCGTGTTGCATACGCACGAAAGTGAAGGCGCTTTGATTCCTCAAGTACTAACTGCTTTGGCCGCTTCTCTGCAGCGCGGAGGTGGGCAGAACGATGCGAGGATCATAAAAGACAAAGTATCTGAAAATCTTCGTTTATGGCGCAAAGGAATCTATTCGGCTTGAATGGTCGCTCTACAAATCATACTCAGGACATCGCAATATCAAAACTGAGGCAAAATTATCCTCACATCCCACACCAACGTGTAACTTTTCGTGCGTTGAGAACTTTGTAGTGCAAACGAAGAATTGACGGCGCTCTGTCTTTAGGATCTGCTTGCCACCGATCCAGGCAATCCACGGGTGAAATGGCAAAAGCCTAGAGAGTCAAAACGCCTTCACTTGAGTGCGTATGCAACACAGACAATTATTCAGCTCGAATAGTTGCTTTTACTAGGCGTTATAATGAAATCTGTTAAGTATCCATCGCTTGCTATACTAATTTACAGAATTTTGCTTGTTTCTCTCCCACCTTACCTTAAATTCAGCGTTTCTTATCGTGCTGATGAAGTAAACGATCATTACCGATACGTATCTCGAAACTGTCAGTTTTCAGAAAAATGCTTTGATTGTTTATTTACTCGGATTGTGAAAATGGAGTGAATTTCAGACTTTTCCAGTGTTCCTGGCGTGAGTTTCGAGCCATTATACTTGAAAAGCAACTCCTCATCGTTTTGCTCCAGCAAAAGTTTGCAACATACCAATTATTGAGGGGCTTGAGGACAAGGCGCATAAGTGTGGTGTTTGCTATTTCGAGAAATACCTGTTTGAAGTTTCGAAATTACATGGGTCCTCTTGGCGGAATGAAAGTTCAAATTGACTTTTTCATGCTTAAAAATTGGAATTCGGGTGCAAATATTTTACAGAATATGCATTAAGAATCATTTTACTTGAAATGGACCACTAGACAAGGTACGAATTTCAGCATTCTGATACATATTTCTTAACTAAAATTTCACGTAGAACACAATGCGCATAACGAAAATTACCGAATTTAACTCCTTCCTAATGATTCTTAATAAGTATTAATATAAGTAAGTATTTTTCTTATAAGTATTAGTATTTAATGATTCTTGATGCGTGAATTCAAACCACCCACTCACGATAACTCAATGCTCTACGTGATTATCCCATCGTGCGCTAAACGTTATCATGACAGTCTCTGCGATATAAAAATCTGGCAACCTCAATCTTGACGCTTTGGCTCAGCTGTAGCAAATTGCTTATAGTTTGAACAACACATGGTGGGAAATGAACATTGCTCGATTGAGAAGCTTGCTGAAACCGTTGTAGTGCGCGATTTGACTCACGTAGAGCTTTGAGTTTCTTGTGAGCGGGCAGTTCAAATTCCTCGTGATCAATGTGAAATAAAAACGTTAATATCTTCGTTAGGAGTTAATTTCATTAATTTTTAATGCAAGAATCGTGTTTTACATGAAATTCTGGTTAAGGATCATGTATCAGATTGCTTGAATTTGTACCTTGTCTAGTGGTCCATTGACGTTTTTCTTCGGTGTTAAATTAATTTCTTCATTTTCACCCATGAGCTCAGCTTGTAGACTTCATTACTAACCCCTCGTTCCTAGCAATATTAATCCATATGCTGGTGTCTCTGTGAACGGAGTGGAAAGCAAGGAAGGGAGATCTGAGAGGTTAAATGTTTAATAAAGCTGTTGCAACGAAGCCGGAAATGAAGTCGCGCTTTCCGGTTCAAGTTTGAAGCGAGGACAAAATTGCATCCCGGTTTACTCCTTTACTCGCAGCTTCATTCCCTCTTTTAGCAATAATCAATGAATGAATGAGATCCCTCGGAGCTTCACTAATATATTCTCGATGAAAAGAGGAAATGCGCTTCCTTTAAAGGCGCTATAAACAGTCTCGTTTGGACATTTCACACATTGGTGTCCTTGACACATGCATATCCCTTGAATAATGGACTCTATTGGCACAAAAATGGCCTATGTTACATAATTACAGTACTAAAAATTTTGTTTCTAAGGTCTCAATAACTAACATGTCACTCTTATAAAACTTTAGTGCGCTCTGCGACACCCAACCTTCACTGATGGCGATCCTGACTTATTCGCATCCCCTGATTTACTACCTTATTCCATCCATCCAAAAGGTCTAATCTAAGGTTTAATACCCATTTTTCCGCAGATAGTTACTAATCAAAGGCAAAATCTTTCTGCAAAGTTCGTTTTTACATACAACAGAATGTTTTGGTTAGGGTGCCTTGTTCAGTGGCGTAACCAGAAATTCTTCATTCGGGGTAGGAGTGGGGAAATCTAAGATCAAAAATTTATCATCGAAGGGTTTCAAAGATGAAAAATTTGAAAAATGACATTTATGGTTTTTGAGCTTTTAGAGTCAAATTCGTGGCAAAATGTGTAGATTTCTCACTCTACTCAATAGTATCAATAACTCCACTTTGACTTCATGGGATACAAGCACCCTTCTCTGAGATCCGGTTGGATTACGTATTGAGACATATCGTTTGTTCCGGGCTCAGAGGCCGAAACTTCCGGGTGCTAGAGCCGTAACTACGACTGCTCCGGTGCTTTCGGTCTCTGAGCCCGAAACGCGGACGGTATGGTCGGTATGTCTATATAGCCCGTAAGTACGGCTTCCACGGCCGGAGTTTTTTTCTTTTTTTTCAGTATAGGTATCCAAATCCGGTCACATCTTTTCAGGGAAAACTGATAAGTGGACATATTTCTGCCAAACGGACATATGTGTATTACGACGTGAGCCCTGTTATGCATATATTCTCATGAGTCTCAAGCTCATGTCTTAATGCACAATGTGCATTGCACATCATAGAGAAAAAAAAGGAGGTGTTTGCCTTTCGAGCATCTTGGAATTTTTTTGATGACGTAGGTCGGTACAGCGACTATTATCATCGGTTTTCTTGGAAATGGTGTAATTTATGGAAAAAAGTCAATCTATAAAAAGTGCTTGAAATTATATCATAAGTTGATTTAAGAAAAAAAAATGCGACATTATGGTCCGTTTTTCATACTTCGAATTTCGGATTTCGCTGGCCAGGTTGTACCGACTTACGTCACAGGGTAAACAAACCTCAAGATGCAAACACCTCCTTTTTTTTCTCCATGGATGCACATAGTTCCGTTTAGAGTACCTGTATAGCGAGAATATAGACAGATGTGAAACTCCGAAAATCCATCAGGCCTTCACCAATGCCTCCGCGAATAAAGTTAGGGCCCAGAAATGCAGCCAACCTATGAATTTCAATTATCCAGAGCGATTTATTAATACAATTTTTACGAACCATCGTTTCTAAAGCACGTATTTGACTTAGTTTTTGCATTTTACTCATTTTTTGTGAAAGAACGCTCATTTACGTACTTTCTTAGCCATCTTCGTTAGAATTGGAATCTACAGACTGGCAGTGGAATTTTGTGCGTTAGAAGTTGGTTAGAAGGGTGGCTGCACTTTTGGGCCCTAAGCCCTCCATGAAGCGATCTGTCCACACTCTCGCTATACAGGTACTCTAAGTTATGCATATACTCTCATGAGTCTCAAGCTCATGTCTTAATGCACATAGTTCCGTTAGGCAGAAATACGTCCAAGTGATTAATTTTTCTAGGGACGCACCTGTTCCCTTGAAGCGTGTAAGGTGTCGTCGAAGACGGTCCAGACTACGGTTTCGAGGCAGGGCGGCGTGGTGAGGGATCCCTCGTAGCGGTAGAAGTTGGCCACGTTCTTGGGGAGGAGATCGGCCGCCGAGAAAGTGCTCTTCAGGACGGTGGCCGCGCCCGCATCCCGCGCCTCGCTCATCCCTTCGATCACGCTGTTGAACACCGGGTTCGGGTGGGTTGTCTCCTGAAACGGAAAGCACAGCGGTTGTAACAATCCACCATAGAGTACATAGAGTACATAGAGTACATAGAGTACATAGAGTACATAGAGTACATAGAGTACATAGAGTACATAGAGTACATAGAGTACATAGAGTACATAGAGCACATAGAGTACATAGGGTACATAGAGTACATAGAGTACATAGAGTAGTACATAGAGTGCATAGAGTACATAGAGTACATTGAGTACATAGAGTAGTACATAGAGTACATAGAGTACATAGAGTACATTGAGTACATAGATTCGTAATGTAAATGGGAGAGCTGGCGCCATGTTCTGGTCGACGAGTTCCGAGCCCGGTGTGCGTCGAGCTTAGGTCACTTTTTTGATACATGTTCGATCCAAAATGGCGCTGTGGAATACGTAGTAATTCCTATCTCCTTTGTTTACATCGGATGGCCGGGTCCCCGTGTATCGAAGACAATCGATTATGTATCGAAAAAGTGACCCGGCATCACACAGGAGTTTCGGAAATCGGGACCTGGAAAATGCTTAAAAGTGGCGCCAGCTCTCCCACTTACATTATGACTCTATGCACTCTATGTACCTAATCCAGCGGGTTATTTGAACGAGAATGTAGTCGCCCAAAGTCCACGATTGGGGAAACCCTGGTAAAAATTGGCAGTAGAATGTGTGTTCCAAAATACTATGGACCTACAGCCGGCTGATTTCCAATAGCTTCTGTAGCCGGCTGTACCATTTCTTATAGCCTTTTATAGCCGATGGCGATTAAGCAACAGCCAGACGATAAAGTTTATGCTAAACGTTACTAAATACGGATACTAGGACTTAGTTAGTTTTTGGACTACCGCTCTTTTTTGTGCCGTAGTATCTTGATTTATTTTGCGAGGAAAGCTCCGTACTTTTGAAGGATGCCTGGCATTCTTAATATGTTGGAGCGCCTTCAATTTCTTTTGATACTGTGCAATACATCTGGTTTGACATAGTTGCTTCGGACGCCGTGGCACGCTGCGGCGCGGCGGGCGAGCAGAGATCGCAAAACGCGCATTGGCGCCTACAAACCTAACAGGGATACTTCACGCGTTGCGCAATGCGTGAAGTATCCCTGTTAGATTTGTAGGCGCCAATGCGTCTCCGCTCCGCTTTGTGTTAGGCTCTAATATTTAATCTCGCGGAGTCAGCGTTTTTCAACTCATGATTTTGAAATGTTTGCGCACTCTGAATGGATTATTCTAATTTTAATTGATGAAAAAAAATATGTTTTAAAGGAAAATATAATGTGTGTTATGTAAATATTAAGATAGTTCCGTATCAAACTTAATGATTTCCAAAGCACACGAATTTCTTCACAATTTCTTATAGACTTTTATAGCCAATGGCGATAAAGTGTAAAGCCCGGCAATAGGAGCTATAGCCCGACTGTATACTTTTTTATAGCTTCGTATAGCCCGGCTATATGATTTGCTCCGCTTTCTACAGCCAGCTATATGATATTCAATAGCCTTCTTTAGTCGGCTTTAAGAACTCATATGGTATTTTGAAACGCAGCTCCTATCGTCAATTTTTACCAGGGAAGATGAGAAAAAAACTTCATTTCCTCGTAACACACTCAAAAGAAAAAAAAGAAAAAAAAAAACTATGGCTCCTGGCCGTAATGGCGATGTTGCGTGTGTGAGGTATTTGCGATTTGACTATTGATTCTTACGTAAAAGTTCGCGAGAAACACGATGGTACCACTGGTTTTCTCTGAAATCAACTCCCAAGCTCAAAAAAAACTCTGAAAATGAGGCCAAAATGGAGGGGATATCCCACGCTATCCTGAGAGTCCACCTCTACATCACGACGAACTCGCCATGCAAAGATAGGGAGCAAATACATTGACAGGGCTGCCACTTTATTTGGGGCCTCTAAAACTGAAAACACGGCATCGCTGCTAATGTATTTGCTCCCTATCTTTGCATGGAGAGTTTGTCTTGATGCAGAGGTGGACTCTCAGGATAGCGTGGGATGTCCCCTCTATTTTAGCCTCAACTTGACAGCTTTTTTTTGAGCTTGGTAGTTGACTTCAGAGATTACCAGTGGCACCATCGTGTTTCTCGCGAACTTTTACATATGAATTGATGGTCAAATCGCAAATTCCTCACACATGCAACGTCTCCATTGCGGCTCCGGAGTTTTTTTTTTTTTTCAGTGTAACAAAATTTTAATGCAATCTATGAAAATTATGAGGAGTTAGAAAGCTGAGAGTAACGATTTTTTAACGCTTCTTGCAAATTTTCTCTATCATAACTGAGAAGATATTGAATAGGTACGAATAGGCTTATTTTCTGGACGATGCTCGTAGCTTCAGACCAGAATTTCAATTTTATAAATGTCTTGAGAACCAATGCATACCTACTATCATCTCTGGACCTTTTCATAGGGATTTTTCATGTAATTGCCAAAAGAACCGAAAATGTGATCTTGCGGGCCATAGTTTTCGAACAATTTTGTTTTACGAATAGTCCACCCTCGTATCGTATATAAAAATTCAAAACAAGATAAATTCATTACTCCAATATGATTTAAAACAGAATCTGAGCACCTTTGAATCTCCGAAATAGACATACTTTACATTCTTTTTGGATTTTATCGTCCACTGTATTTTGTTCCTCATTGCCTTAACCCGTCCAATTTTGAGTCTACATATATTTGAAACATTCGGCCCAAAATTACATAATTCACATTTGAGGCTGCGAGTGGCTTTTCATAACTTAACCTAGCCTAACTCCGTAAAAGGTGAAAATTGTTGTTTACCGTGACAAATGCTCCTAAAACTGCGACACCGCGTGCTTTCTTGATAGCTTTATCAAAAGATCCTAATTCCACATTGTGATGCACTAAATGTACTTCCATTGCGTACCTGAGGGGGAAAAACATACCTCTGAGTATAACGCATGAAAAAACAGAAATCTAAATAAAGTCAATGCTCACGCGAGTAGTGAACGTGTGCCGAGAAAGAAAATATGGTTTGAGGTACAATGATATTATTACGGTAATCTTCAACAGACAATATGCCAGCCAGTGGCGTGGCGTGAATTGCGATGTATCGTTTGTTATGCCATTTAAACCTGTGGTAAAAAATTGATTATTTAGGTGTTCGTAGCGAACACCTAAATAATCGATTCTTATCCATACCCTGTTTATCGATCCTTTTCCACAGGATTAAATGGTATAACAATCGATAGATCGCAATTCACGCCAAGCCTCTGCAGCAAATACTCTAACTCTAACCACATACATTCACCAAAAGTATGAAAAATGCTACCAGATGCCTGATAGTTCTTACCCTACAGGATCACTATGTCAAAAATCAAGTAAAGGCATAAGAGAATTTACCATACTTCTGGTAAAACAAGGTGCTAAAATAGTGCTGGGTCCACGCTATTTTGCGGCGAAAGCTAGGCCACAAAATTCCAAAAATACCGTGTATCCCGATGCCACCGTCTGAATTGATAACTTCTCGCTCAGTTTTGTACCGATGCCCATTAGAGCTCAAATGTTACTTTAATTAAAATTTGTGGAATTTTTTGCCTTACTTTCCCCGCAATCCAGTGTAGACCCAGCATTTTTTACCATATCGGTGGTTACGGGTCGGGCCACATTTTTAGTGTTTTCTCCTGTCCTCTGATCAAATTTGCTAAACTTCTTCTCCAGTGTGAGTAAAAAGACTTCAAACCACAAACACTTGAAGTTTCTCTATACTGATAGTAGCGCATAGGAAGTGCTTTACATCCATTTTTGAACAAAACAGTGCAAAACTCGTCGTTCCCCTCACGAGAGCACGTACTTATATTTGAATGTTGCCAAAGGACCCTACAACAAAACGGCCAAATCGGCCTAAACACGGAATCGTACGATTTTCTCAGGGATGATAGAGGGTCTTCCCAGACACTCAAAACTGGTCATATTTTTTGCCTAACCCCCAGGGAAAAGGGGGGAGAGGGGGTCAAAGTCAAAACCTTTAAATTAGCATAATTTCTCAACGGTTTGTCGTAGAAAGATGATCTTGGTGTCAAAATTTCCAGAAAAATGAGAGCTTTCAGAATATATGTATGAAATTAATACAATTTTAAAATTTGACCCACTTTTGGGGCATTTTACAAGGTCCCCCTTTCGTAAATTTTCGTTTTTTGAGATTTTCGGTTGTTCGGTTCGTACGGATTAAGACAAAAACAATTTCAAATAAAAGTAGAGCGTTTCAGCTTTAAAACAAGCCCAAGATGATCTTGGGGAAACGATTAGAAGCGGAGTTATGCGTCTTCAAAGTTGACGCGGCGCGCGGGAGCCTTGTATGTTCCGAGTCTCAAGGTCACCTGCGCGCCCCGGATTGCCTGCAGGTTGCAAGTTTTTGTGTTTTTATGCTTCTGTAGGTCATTTTTAATGTAAATCATTCAATGAAGATAGTTTAATCAGAATTTTTTTAATTTTACACAATGGGCCTTGGGCGAGGTACACCTCATTAACATCAAAAAATTTTAACTGCGTTTCGAGTAGCCCCCTCAAGAATAACTAAGACTTGTTTTGAAGCTCAAAGCTCGTCTGCTTCTACGAGAAACTATTTGGCTTTACCATGTGAGTTCCGTCAAGCGCTGTAGCTTATAGCTCAATTAAAAAATTTTAAAATTAGGGGTACCCCAAAATTTGGCATCAATGGGTTATAATTTCTAAATGGTTCAGTTCTGTATGGAGCATATGTATATTGGAACTGAGGGTCCATGGTTTCTTCTAAATTATAAGAGCAGAATCGTCATCGTCAGCAAATGTTTAATGAGGTATGATGGACATACTGGTTGATACTCTAAGCCCCCTCTCACTCCTCCCGTAAAATTAAAAAATTTCGATTATTCTATCTTCATTGAATGATTTACATTAAAAATGACCTACAGAAGCATAAAAACACAAAAACTTGCAACCTGCAGGCAATCCGGGGCGCGCAGGTGACCTTGAGACTCGGAACATACAAGGCTCCCGCGCGCCGCGTCAACTTTGAAGACGCATAACTCCGCTTCTAATCGTTTCCCCAAGATCATCTTGGGCTTGTTTTAAAGCTGAAACGCTCTACTTTCATTTGAAATTGTTTTTGTCTTAATCCGTACGAACCGAACAACCGAAAATCTCAAAAAACGAAAATTTACGAAAGGGGGACCTTGTAAAATGCCCCAAAAGTGGGTCAAATTTTAAAATTGTATTAATTTCATACATATATTCTGAAAGCTCTCATTTTTCTGGAAATTTTGACACCAAGATCATCTTTCTACGACAAACCGTTGAGAAATTATGCTAATTTAAAGGTTTTGACTTTGACCCCCTCTCCCCCCTTTTCCCTGGGGGTTAGGCAAAAAATATGACCAGTTTTGAGTGTCTGGGAAGACCCTCTATCATCCCTGAGAAAATCGTGCGATTCCGTGTTTAGGCCGATTTGGCCGTTTTGTTGTAGGGTCCTTTCTCCCCGAAAATTTCATTTTTACGGAGACAGTCGTGGATATTTCTGACTGAAAATTTCGCTGATTTTTCTTCTGATCTTATGCGAAAATCAAACATTTTTTTGACAAAAACTACGCAGGTACACCCTTTCAAAAAATTGAATAATTTGATATATTTTTGAGCCAAACAGTGCAAAAATCGTCGCTTTCCTCACGGAAGAACGTAAGTATATTTCAATGTTACCACATTTCCCCACGAAAATTTCATTTTTACCGAGACATCGTGGATCTTTCTGACTGAAAATTTCACTGATTTGCAATCGATTTGCATTTCAATTTGAGCAATGGGCAGAGACGGAGCTGTATAAAATTAGCTGTTTAAAATAACGCACGATCATTTCGTCATTACCTTTTACCATTGACGGTATGTTCCGAATTCCAGTGAAAGTGGATCTGGTCTAGAAAGTACAAGCTCCTAAGACCACCCGACGCAACGCCAACGTCACACGGTTGATTGATATTCAAAACGACTGCAAAAAAAAGGGAAAATTGGAGATCATAAGTTACCAACATTTCCTTTCAAGGCGTAAAATGAAGATTAGAGAAAACAGAAAAAAAGAAAAATAATCAAAGGAAAATATGGAGCTGCGTATTCAAAAAGACAAAAGGAGAGTTCAGGAGGCTTCCTCCAGATAATTTTCGAAATTTTAAAACATCTAATAAGCAGTTTGAGTCAGTTTCGTCATGAATAATTTTCGCAAATATAATCGTACTTCCTTCTCCTTTCATCCGTTCCTTCCAACTTTCTTTCTTCCCTTTTTTTTCTTCTCTTTTTCGATCAAATTGGGGGAGGGGCCTGGGGACTACGCCCCCTACGCCGCTCTCTTGGATCCGCCAATGAAGATACTCTAAATTTCCTTCAAATTAATAATAATTTATGACGAGAAATTTGGCAGCTTCCGGATGTGCATACGGTGTTTTTCCTCAGCACGGCTGTAATGAAGAGGCATCACGCACACGCATACTACACTGCCGTGGTAAGGAAAAGCGCCGTATGAACCTTCGTCAGTTGCCAAATTTCCGTCGATCAAATTCGAATTTTCAGGAAAACTTATGAATATTTCCAGTTCAAATCTCCAGGGAATTTTGCTCGTAATTCGGCCGATATCATCTGAAAATTTCAATGGAAAATGTTAATAACTCTCCTCAAAAATGAACATTTAATTGAAGGAAATTTTGCAACACGGCGTTTTTCCTTCACGGCAACACAGTGGCGTGACGTGCTTTGCGATGTATCGATTGATCTGCCATTTGAAATCCTGGAAAAGGATCGATAGACAGGGTGCTCACAACGAACACTTTGATGATCGATTCTTCACCACAGCTTCAAAATGGAAATATCCATAATCGATCATTCACGCCTCGTCACTGCACGCATCATGTACTGCCGTGCTAAGGAAGAACGCCGTATAAGCCTTCAGACGTTGTCAAGTTCCCTCCGATAAAAACAGAATTTAATGGGAAAATTGCGAGTATTATTTGCCAAGATTTTCAGACAATTTTTTACGCAATTTAATCTAAAATATTTGAAAATTTTAAGGAAATAATACTCAGATTTCATTCTTTGGCATGCAGTAATGACCATAAAGGCTACCACCATGGCTGCCAAGCTAAGGAAGAACGCCGTATGAACCTTCAGACGTTGCCAAGTTTCCTCCGATAAAAATTAAATTAACCGAGAAAATTGTGAATATTATTTTTCACAATTTTCAGACAATTTTGTACGCAATTTAATCTAAAATATTTGAAAATCTTAAGGGAAAATATGCATGAATGTTGTCAAAAATACATTTTCTATCAAGGGAAATTTGGCAACTCTCGAATGTTCATACGGCGTTCTTCCTTAGCACGGCAATGTAGTGGATCAACGTACCTGTATGTCCGTTATTGGTGAGATTGGTCGATACAGCTTCTTTATAGTGGAAAAAGGCTAAAGGCTCTACTTCGTCCTCATTCTTTTTTGCCTCCTCCGTTTCAGGGAAGTCGACTGGTGACTGCTTTTTCCCCACCTCGCATAAGCCATCCCATCCTGCGCAGGAAAAAGAGTTTTTTTAAACTACGATAATACGTCATTGCATGCAATAACATAATGTGGAGTCATCTACACAGAGAGAAATTTCAACACAAAAGTTTGGTTAATATGGCAAGTAAAACACAAAATAACCCTAGCCTTCAGTTGACGGTTTCAAGAGAAAATTCTAGCTAGTTTTCTTGAGGAAATTTAATGAAAAACGAGTGGTGATTACCAAAGTCGCCAGGGCCGGATTTAGGGGGTGGCCACATGGGCCACGGCTCATGGCGGCAAATCTAGGGGACGGCAAATTTTACAATTTTTTTAAAAGTAGGCATAAAAAATCTGACTTAAAAAAAAATTACAAATAAGAAAAGGTGACAAAATTTCTCAATCCCCGAGAGTATATCAGATGAAAAGGAGAAGCCCTCGGCGCGGCGGTCGGCATGTAACACATATTAGCGCCCACAAGACTGCATGAATACTTCACGCATTGCATCAAACACAGTGCGGTCATTGCGGTCAGCATGAAACGCATAGCGCCTACAAGACTGCATGAATACTTCACGCATTGCGTCGAACACGGTGCGGTCTGAGCGGCGCGGCGGCGGCGGATGTTAAAATTTTTAAACCACATTTATGTTTGTTCTTTTATAATTTTTTCGTTCATTTATTATGAAAGGAGGGCCCTGCTCGCATAGAGGTAGGTGTACGGAACTTAACTTTCGCCTAAAGTTCCGTCAACTTTTGCTAGTAGTGTCACTGGGCTTTCCCAAAATATGTGTCCAATACTAGTAAATGCGTCTTATGCACCCCTCCCCTCCGGCACGTTCACTTGATGGTTTTCAATGTGTTTCAAAACGAATGAGAAGGGGGCGGCAAAATACAGGCGGCCTATGGGCGGCAAGTAGGTAAATCCGGCCCTGAACGTCGCGATCAGAGGATACATTTTCCCAGTCTCTTCATTGTTTTCTGCGCTAAATTCACTGCAAACTGTACCAAAATCAATACTTTTGTGTTGGTTTGTGTTTTATCAGTATAATAATTATTATTAAACGACTGTGGCGAAGCGTGAACGATCGACTATCGATATTTCCGCATTTGAAGCTATGGTAAATAATCGATTATTAAGGTGGTCGAAGCGAACACCGAGTTTATCGATCTTTTTCCATAGGTTTAAACGGCAGAACAATCGATGTACCGCAAAACGCGCCACGCCACTGATTAAATCGAAAAATAGCCGTTGCGCCAAAGGGGAATGTTAAGAGCTGACATTGAAAAAAAAAGTTCTGTCGTGTGGATCGAACGCTCGAAATCATAGAAGCAAAGATTTTGTAAAACCCCATCAGGATACGCGTTTTTATTATGTCACTGTCGACACTGAAGAGCAATTTGCAAATCTTACAGTTGCTCAAAAGCCGGAAAGAGAGAGCTCCTTCAATTGGTGAGTAGGCAACATACACAACAATCCAATACAGTAGCTAGCATTAATTTTACCATTCCATCGCGCATTCGCACTTACTTGCGACCTGTGCTGTTTGGGTAATGACTGGTTTTATAAATGAGCGGGGGGTTATGTATGGCGTCATTTCCGTAACCCTGAGAAATAAAAATAAATTTATCGAAAGAAAAAAAAATATTTCTCAAGAAAAAAAAAATATATGTAGAAATTATTTTTCACCCGTAGAAATATATCCGTTCCTTCGAATTTTTTTTTTTTTTGTTAGGAGAAAGGTTTTTTCTTCTCGGAAATATTTTTTTTCTCAGAAATATCTTCTTCCCGAGAAATGTTATTTTTATCAGAAAAATAAATTTCCCCATAAGAATAATTTTTCACAACTCCGGAAAACTTTATTTTTTAATTGAAAAAAAAAATCTATCGACCCCGAAAAAAAATTTCTCGAGAGAAAAATATATTTCTACCGCAAAAATAATTAATTCTCAGACCACAGAAATATTTCTACGACTCGGCCCTGCGTTGCTGTCAAATTTGCATATTATTCCACCGATTTTGGCTCTTGTTGGTTCGTCGGTCTCGGTTCCAATTCCACCAACCGCGGAACCCGATATGAAACGAACCGAAGAAACAACAAAACGCCGAATAACTGAACATGTTATATTTTGTCATAGAATAGTAAATAGCTTCGCTGTTATTATTCTATGATTTTGTGCCATGGTTGTGCTCATAGTTGGTTTTAAATGGTCGTGGTCGGTGGTTGGTCGTGTTAAATGATTTTTGAAGTCAGCGATGTAAGGAGCCATCTAGCGGTATAGATTCGCGTGTAAAAATGACTGATGCAGAGCACTAAGCTGTAGTAAAAATGAAAGAACACAAATTCGGCAAAATCGGAACCCTGAATGGTAATGTCTAAACGTTCGACACTCAAAAAGTTTCAAAGGATTTAAAAGAAATAAATTTAAATGATTCATTCAGAAAAATTTGCTCTCTCCCAAAAGAAAAGCATTGTTTCCGACTTTTAAAACTCGGGGGGTCAGCAAATTTTGGAATTTCCTTAAACATACGTAAGTATCGACAAAGATAAAGGATTTCAGAGGAATTAAAGGAGCATTTTTTGTTTTGCTTATTCAGAGGAAATGAGGGAGTGGAAACTCCCTGAAGGGCTTTGAGAGGATAGAGGACATCGGCGGCTGGATGTCGCCTAGCACCAAAGAGGGCTATGAAAGCGGCTTTCATGTATGTATCGATAAAACGAAATTAGAATTCAGAATGAAAATTAAAAAGTAGCAAGGCGGCAAAATCTCTCATTTCCCGAAAGGATAAATATTGTAATTTGTAATTTTGTTGTCTTTTGGTGGTACAGGAGGTAGCCAGATTTAACTTCCGCGCAAAGTTCTGAGTCTTACTGCTAGTGTGGGCAAAGCCTTCAAAAAAAGAGCGCACAGCACGAGCAAACGTGTATGCATTCGCTAGAATTGTATTTTTTCCTCTTTGCATTCCTTGAAAATAAGGATTTTCAGAAATTGTTTTATAACATTCTCTTCATTTACGATAGTCTTCTTGAAAAGAAAGATATATTCATCCATCAGGACATTGTTTAAAGAACTCTGCGACCTCTCAACTTTATTCCTTATTGCCAAAACTCAAATTCCGGACAAAGATCAGCAGAGAAGCGTGATGTATCAAAACTTTCCATTCATTCTTTTTTATTTCCTAGTTATCCTTGTTTGAGAGAATATGTAATGGTGTCTTTTGGCTTCATCGCACTGGTTATGAGAAAATAATTTGCCCGGATGGACATGCAATCGCTGAAAAAATCCTAATTTCCCCGGAATAAACGCGGACGTTTTATTCCGCAATTATTACGTCCGGCCGGAAGTTTCCCGCGAAAGATTCAACTCTTCGCGCCACTTCGCGCCACTTCGCGCCACATCCTACGATCCACCCATCGATCCACATCCCACGTTCCTTGTCGAAATCATTTCCAGCGGCCTGCACAAGCTGGCAGCAGTGAACACTCCGTTCTGCAGAAATATATTTTTTTTTTTCTGAGAAATATTTTATTTCCTGAGAAATATATTTCTTTCTGAGAAATAATTTTTTTTTTTCAGAGATATATTTTTTTCCTGAGAAATATATTTTTCTCTCGAGATTTTTTTTTTTTGTCAGGAGCGGGGAAAATATTTCTACGGCGAATTTTTTTTTTCTGAGATAAAAAAAATATTTCTCCAAAGCAAAAAAAAAAATTCGAAGTAGCAGGAATATTTCTACGGGTGAAAAATAATTTCTACATATATTTTTTTTTCTTGAGAAATATTTTTTTTTCTTTCGATAAATATATTTTTATTTCTCAGGGTTACGGAAATGACGCCATAGTTATGTCCCCTGGTCACTGCGCTACCCAACCCCTAGGTTACCGTCCGCCTCCAAAGGCCGCGACGTCGAAATCGCCCCTTAGCGAATAATGAGCAAATAATTTTAATTGAATTACAAAACAATGTTTTAAGGAAAAATTTCCTCCCGAACACTATTCTTAATGACTTTCTCCTTACTCTAAATTTTGATTCCTTTTTTGAGAGTCGACCTTGACAAGGCCTCGTATAGCTGTCCATGACTGAACAAAGGCCTCTGAAAGTAAAGACCCACTTTAATATTTAAATATTTTTAAATTAAAGACTATCAATTCTATTTAGATGTAGTTGGTACTTTAATTTATTTTACTTTAACACTTAACTTTTATAGGTTTTTATTGTTTAGATTTGTAATTTAAATTATGAAATAATAAAACAATATTTAATTAAATCATTTTATTTAATGACTAGATATATTTAACCTCTACATTCCCTGACCTTTGAACTCCTCCTCCTCACTCCTGCCCATCGCCTGTTTTCCCCTTCCTCACCCCGTCCATCGTGTGTCTTAAAAATGATTTTATTAGAATAGAGAGGATATCCCAAAGTCATGGAATGCGACTCGGCACATTTCTGGAACGAGTTATGTCAAAAAATAAAAATTCGGGGAGTCAGAGAACCGGAGTACCCGATTTTTTCGATGTAGATCGTGAAAATCACGATACTTTTCCCGCACAATCCTTGCTCCAGGGTGCAGTTTCACGGCTGACGTGAGGCGGGGCAGGGGGGGGGGTGGCGAGGGGGTGAAAGGGAAGTGAGCGGTGCTGCCGTGCCAATCTGAGATGCACAGAAATTGCGTATCGATCTGCCGGCTTGCACATGCGCCACGGTCACCGGGCCAAGGTTGCTCGCGAGAGCGTAGGCTTCCGCGAAAAATTCGCGTCCTCCTCTCCCGCTGATGAGGACAAATCCATCGGCTACTGTGAAGAAATGGGCGCCGTTCGGAGAGAGGGAACCAATTTTCAGGATAAGAGAGGGGTATGCTGCCGCAATGGCGAAGAGAGCAGTAAGTGTCCAATTTTCGAAATCGAGTTTCCTTCAAAATTCGTCAACTCTTTCAGATGAAATCACTGAAATTGCTAAAACAGCGAAATTCATCATACGATCATCTTGCGTATCAAAACGAAACAAATGAGAAAGCCGTAAGTGCGCAAATGGCGTAGTTTCAGGCGAGACAGCAGTAAGTGACAATATTCCTCCAGAGCACTGGAAAAAAAAAAAACACATTGGATCTAGAGTCCAGACTCTTGAAAACATCGACAAGAAAAAGTACTTTTGATTCAATCAGAATCTAGCTTAAATCAAGAACCAAGCCTCTTAATTTAAGCGGATTTCGTTTTGATTCAAGCAAAAGTCCGATTAAATCAAGAGTATTTTTTCTTGTCAAGGTTTNGAATAATTTCTAGGAGTCTTTCGGACGATTATAGTGGCAATTTAACAAAGAACAAAGGCTTGTTTCAATACACCGGAAAAAAATACATTGGATCTAGAGTCCAGACTCTTGAAAACATTGACAAGAAAAATACTCTTGATTCAATCGGATTTTTGCTTGAATCAAAACGAAATCCGCTTAAATTAAGAGGCTTGTTTCTTGATTTAAGCTAGATTCTGATTGAATCAAAAGTACTTTTTCTTGTCGATGTTTTCAAGAGTCTGGACTCTAGATCCAATGTGTTTTTTTTTTTTTTTCCAGTGCTCTGGAGGAATATTGTCACTTACTGCTGTCTCTAAGCTAATTTCTGATTGAATCAAAAGTACTTTTTCTTGTCGATGTTGTTAAGAGTCTGGACGCTAGATCCAATGTGTTTTTTTTCCCAGTGTATCGAATCCCAAAAATGGACTGCATCGTGCAATTTGAAACAACTATATCGACGGTGAAACTGCAAGAATGCATATCTCGGTTGCAGTGTTTCAAAATCTCCGCTCACACTTTATTTTCTAAAAGAGGGGTCAATCAACTTTACTTCTTGAAATTTTTACGGAATATTTATCACACAGAGAGTAAAAATCGCCTGAGTTTTCAAGAAAAGACGTCCGGCAGTGTTCCTTGTAGAAAATAAAGTTTGACAGGAAGTCTGCAACAAAGATTACTAAGGACTCCAGATACCGCACGCCGTATACTTGCCGTAGGAAAGAAGCGGCCCCCCAGTCGCCTGCAGCGCCAGGGTAGGCAACCTGTGTAGCGGTATGCCATACTTTACCCCACTTGTAATGGAAGTGCAAGGGAAATTGCACTTAGAACTTTTTTTTGTTTTCCTTGCTTACCTTCATCCCCGTCTTCCTCATTACTGCCATAGCGCCAGTCTCCTGCAGAGGCTGAAAAAGTAAAAAAAAAAGACAAAATTAGTAAAGACATTGCCGATTACTCTTTGCTACACTGGAAAAAAAAACACATTGGATCTAGAGTCTAGACTCTTGAAAATATTGACAAGAAAAAATACTCTTGATTCAATCAGATTTAAGCTTAAATCAAGAACCCAGCTCTTAATTTGAGCAGATTTCCTTTTGTTTTAAGCTTAAATCTGATTGAATCAAGAGTATTTTTTCTTGTCAATGTTTTCAGAAGTCAGGATTCTAGATCCAATGTGTTTTTTTTCCAGTGTTTGCTTCGTGTCAAAATGCATTATGAAAGTCTAACACAAATAGAAAAAACAGTCATTTTTAACCATCAATTTCGACTAATCACTGCAACATCCCCTAAAATTGCAGTGCTGCCATTTCCCGGAAATGAGTTCGAAAGTCGGAACTTTTCAAATAATCGGAACTTCTCCCGGAATCTTCTGAATCTCTGGAATTTTCAGCTAATTCCGGGATTTCTTCGAAATTTGCTGTTTTTGGTCAGTTTGACCGTTTATTTGATCAAATTTAGGTACTTTTTCATCAAATTTGACGATCTTCGGAACTAAATTAGTTCAACTAACCTCGAGTTTGGTTTAACTAATGCCGGGCGTATTCCGGAATTTTTCCCCGGAATTTTTCTCGGAACTTTGGCAAATCGTAATATGTTTCCGCAAATCGTAATTATTTCGGAATCTTTTGATAAAATAAAATGGCAGTACTGCTGAAATATACGGTTTGCTGTTCATTTTTTAGACTATTCCATGGACCAATGTGTAACTACTGCATAATAAGCGTGCTTGTTGTTCGCGAAAATAAGGTAATAGGATTTGCAATTTGCATATTGCGCCGAAGCCGTATACTTACCTGCTCTTGAATTTATATCCCCTTGAAAGTTTCACGTCAATCTCATTTCAATCAATGATTGAGAGGCTGTCAAGAGTGTAAATAAAGCTGAAGTACCTCAAACAACTCCTTAGTGCCGTAAAAGAAATATATAAATACGTATTAACTTCCGCAAATATTTTGTTTTGTATCCAGATCAAGAATCAGCAAGGATGAGTGGGCCAGCCATGGGTGGTGAAAGAAGTACTAACTCACCAAATTTTGGTTATTAATACGTCTACGCAAAAAATTTACTCAAACTATGGAAACACATAACTATGAAGTAATAATCGGCCGTAAGTAAAATATAATGGGTGCTGAACTGCTGATACTGTAATGTTGATATTCTGCCGCTATATAGCTTTTGTGGGGGGAAAAAATAACTCTAAAAAGGAGAGTAAAACTATGACTATTGAGCAATCGATGGTAATGATGATGAGAAAATATATTTAATGCGGCGTAATAATTGTATATATTTGGGTGATAGGGCCAAAATTTTACTCTATAAAAAAAATAATGAGAGTAACGCTTAACGCATAACGCTTGAGGCACGAGGCTCCTCGGGGGGTTGGAGAGCGAAGGGGTCAGCGGGGCAACCGACACACAGTAGATCAAGTCAATTAGAGAGGTCGGACATGAAATTTTTGACCAAACCTGAATATTTTGATGTTTTATCCGGCACATTTTAAAATTCAATGGGTGCTTAAAAAAGAAAATTTTACGGGAAAACCAATGGAGCCACTTACAGGACCTCAACGTTTTGTATAAACGGAGTAATAAGCGTTTAAAGTTTCCAAATTTTGTCCGACCTTCCCCATCGACTCGATCCACTGTGCGGCAACCTCCTAGTTTAATATAATCAAATTCGCGGGTCCGTATAGATGTTGGTCAACCGAAATTTTCTCTAGGAAGAGTGGTTGGAAGAGGCATCCGCCTCTCAGTCTATGGGAAATTATGGGTAAGGATTAAACAGGGAGACAACATTTGTGAAAATCGTCTTTTCGGGGTCCTAAACCAGACTTAGAATGTTGCCTTCCTTGTTTGTGCTGATCATGGAACTGTCTCTAGACTGTCAGTTCTTTATTAAAAGTCAATAGGAGAGTCCTTTGATACGGTTTTAAGCTGAAATTTTTCATAATTTGGATATGCAATATTTTGAATTATTATGAAATATCTATGAAAAATTATCGTGTTTAATCATGAAGTTTATCGTAAAGATTTTTTTTTTTTTTTTTTTTTTTTTTTTTTTTTTTTTTTTTTTTTTGGAAAATTCAAACTCTCCGTTGAAAATGGTGATGGAGTCTGCATTATGGCCAAACTAATTTACCTTAATCCGCTGATAATAGTAGAGAAATTCTTTTCATACAAGTGGAATTTTTTCATTTAATATTATGGTTTTGATCTGGGAATATCTTTGTATTGTGTAAAATTTGAATACACTCACACTCTGCCTCTATCATTTTTTCAATTCGTTGATAAGTTCCTGAGATTTCAGGCATGGCAGATTCAAAGTTTGCTTTGATATCGGCTGGTTCTCTATTTATGTGCGTTACTAAAAAAAGAATGAAGACATTTTAATGATATCATCAGACTTTTTACTCGCATTATGAGAGACTCAACAGATGTCATTAGAGCATACTACTATTAGTAGAGATTCACATGATGTCAGTATGTGTTTCCACGGGCCTGTTACCTGTCCCATATAGCTTGTGTCAATTGTTTTAAAAAAAGTCACTGTGAGGATTATATCTAAAATGAATTTGTGCTACTCGTGTGTGCAGGACTCTCGTCTGTTTTTCTACTGTGAAATCTACTCGTTGAAGTGCTCTGGTGCTCAGGAATGATGATATCCGAAAATACGACTCTTTTACTAAAATAGAGCCTCATAGTCATACATACCGATAAACTCAGCATCTCCCATTTCGGCATTATCAAGCTCGCTAATCAGCTGTTGGATATAACCTAAAACGAAGATGATATTATTTATTAGTAGATCATGATCATCAAAATACCCTCCCTTTCTAAGAGCTCAAATCTACTGATCTTCAATCTACTATCATCCCAATTTGAAGTTTTTCAAAATCGTGTGGCCAGGCTAACTTCCAATTCGCAAGACGATTTAACCAATCGCAACAACTAACTGAACAACGAAGGTGTTTGTACTCAGAATCAAAGAAATTGGCGCATGTTATTATGAGATTCGATATTGTAAAGACGCCATTTATTCGTTTAGGTTGTTTTTGCTAATACGTCATCATCAAAGCTATTGAAGTCATTTTACTTGAAGATCGTTCTAATTATTACATCTCCTTTTTCGAACCTAAAGCGCATTCAACCCCCTAAATGAACCACAGAGGGAACGTTGGAAGTTATCATGATATTACAATCTTACTTTCGAAATCATCATGAAAAATATGCGTTCACATTCAATTGCTCTGCCAAAACAGTCACCAGTGGCGTGGCGTGCTTTACAATATATCGATTGATCTACCATTTAAACTTATGGAAAAGGATCCATAAATAGAGTGTTTGTAACGAACACCTTAATAATCGAGTCTTTTTTGATCGACCATTCCTGTCTTGCCACTGGTACATACCACTTATAGCGGGAAAGTCATGCTGGTCTATACATACTTCAATAAATTAGTCGTAGGTAGTGAGAGGTGATTATTAGCATCGGTGACTCAAGTGACTTATTTTGATACTCGCGCGGTATACAGTAACAAAAAACCATAAATGAGTAAAAATAGGATGTAATTAAAGAATATATGTGCGTCAGAGTACAATAGTTTTCCTCGTTCTTGTCTTGTCAATGTTTGAATGCATTTTTAACCATACTTTGTAAGCCCACGATTATTTTTCATTTCATGCATCTCTCAACTTGAATTTTTTCCCGCATGCTTATGGTTGTCCTTTTAAAGTTAAGCTTAAAGTTCCTCTTTCCCGTCAATCAATATGTGACAGTTGATCGCAGTATATCTAGCTTATATGACTTCCATTATCAACACGAGATGCACACGCTTTTTGTCATTATGAAAAGAAACAACATACGTAGCCGTGGAAGCATAAGTACTTTAACCTCTCGACTTCCGCGTAGAATGCACCTTTAAGAGGGTTTAATGAGTCACCTCAAATATGGATGTGTCGCGAGCGGCGCGCTACGCGAATCGCTACAAGGGTCAGAAGTAACAAAACGCCTTCAATTACAAGCAATGCAACACGCGCATCCTCTAAGCTCGAATAGTTGTATTCAAGCGTCACCACAATCAGTACTACGTGCATTAGGTACTGTAATTTCAATAATTAAACACTAATAGCTTGTATTTCATTTGGAGCATTTCCGAAGGTTCAATAATACATTATTTTCAGAGCGAAATATGACTTTCCTACCGGGCAGATCATTACAGATCCCAAACAACTTTACAGAAGACGCATACGAATGATTTGAAATGGCTCGACATGTTAATACGTCTTAAATTTTGTCTAATAGACGAAGAATACGTCTAATCCTAATGGTTTATAAAATTAAAAGAAAAAAAATATTTTTATTTAGAAGATTGGCGCTTGTAACACTGCATTCTGAGATAATTTTTCGAGTGCAGGGGCGGATGTAATGCATATTATATGGGCGTTTATTGGCTTTTGAAGGTACTTGCGTTTATTGCTCCTAAATCCTTAAATTTGAACGCGATCAAAAAGGTGTGAGCAGCTAAACGGCCTCTCACAAACAAAAATTTACACTCGGTTTCTAAATTGACTTTTGAGGCTATGTTTACATATTGAACCAATCGATATCGATACAATCTCATCCGTTCGATTTATCGAATACAGTCTATTTGTGAGCTGCCCGCCAGCCACTGACCGCATCGCGTATGCGAGAAATTCGTTTATTTAGCCGACTCTCTGTAAACCACGAAACCGCGTCAAAGACTCACTCGGTGTTGCGATTTATCGATTGATCTGCCATTTAAACCCATGGAAAAGAATCGATAAACAGGGCGTTTGCAGCGAACACCTCAAATCGATTCTTCTATATGGATTCAAATGGGGAAAGATCGATAATCGATCATTCACGCCTCGCCACTCCAAAGACTTGAGGAGCCCGTCAAGATCTGAGCGCTCCGGTATTTTGCGGGCTAAAATGCGAATCATAGCTATTTTGATGCATGGACATCAAACAACTGGAATCCATCCTACGTCTTGGCATTGTTTGCAGTGAATTTGTTTTAACAATCGCATTCCGCGGCTGGGACTTTCTTTCTTTGAGGTAGTTTGTATTTTACATATCTCTGATTCGGTTCGATCTTATGTAGTGGTGCACTGCTTTGCTAAGGAAGAGCGCCGTATGAACATTCGAGAGTTGCCAAATTTTCCCGAGTAAAATATGCATTTTTGAAGAGAGTTAAGCATATTTCTCCTCGAAAGTTTCAGATAATTTAGACTCAATTGGGAACAAAACAGTCTGAAAAATTGGAGAAAACACATTCAGAATTTTCCCAGGAAATTCGGTTTTTATTGAAGGAAATTTGGCAACGTCTGAATGCTCATACAGCGTTTCTCGTTAGCACGGCAGGAGAGTCGACAAGGTCGGAAATTTCCCCAAAATTGAGCCCCGGAGAAGAGATATGCTTATCAGTGGCGTTGCGTGCTTTGCAGTATATCGATTGATCTGCGTTTACACCTCTGGAAAAAGATCGACAAACAGGGTATTTGCAACAAACAACCTAATAATCGAGTCTTTACCATAGTTACACATGAGGATTTATCGATACTCGATCATTCGCGTGAACTGGCGCTTTTAAATTCCAATTCATTCTTACGGCCCTCAACTAACGAGCACATCCCTTTTTTCCGCCTGTCTCTGGTTCCGTTTAGCAGAAACACGTCCGATTACCCAAGACAGTGGCGTGGCGCGTGGGGTGAATGATCAATTATCGATATTCCCCCATTTGAAGCTGTAGTAAAGAATCGATAAGCGGCGAACACCCTGTTTTCCATAGAGTACATAGAGTCGTAATGTAAGTGGGAGAGCTGGCGCCACTTCTAAGCATTTTCCATGTCCCGAATTCCGAGACTCCAGTGTGACGCCGGGTCACTTTTTCGATACATAATCGATTGTTTGCGATACACGGGTACCCGACGACGGCCATCCGATGACAACAACAACAACAACAACAACGAAGGAGATAGGAATTACCACGTATTCCACACCGCCATTTTGGATCGAAAATGTATCGAGAAAGCGACCCGAACTCGGCGCACACCGGGCTCGGAATTCGTCGAGCAGAACATGGCGCCGGCTCTCCCATTTAGAGTACGACTCCATGTACTCTATGCTGTTTTCCGATCCTTCTTTGTACATTTAGATGGCAGATCAATTGACATATTGAAAAACCCGCCACGCTACTGCCTGGAATGTAGTTGAAATTATCATACTTTTTTCCTTGTGCAGTGTGCAATTGTTTAATTTTGAGACATCTTGTACTTTTAACACGTTGGGTTCGGCAGAAAGGAGAAAAAAAACATGGAAATCGGAAGTATTTAATTAAATAAGGCGCTCAAATGAAGGATAGTGGGAGAGGAGGGGAAGGAGGAGGAAAGTGTTCAACGGGGAAGGGAGCAGAAATCCCTGCTTAGTCGGCCGGCTGAGAATGCACCGAAGTTCAGACTCTAACCCATTGACATAGAAACTGCTCTTACTGTCAAGGGTATGGAGGCGCGGAGGGGTGGCTAGGAGGAAGCAGGGACCTGCTTTGAATGCTGGCCAATGTTGCGCGCGCAAAAGTTCCGCAACGTTGTCAAATCTCAAAGCTAAAACAGGAAATAAGGGATCTTCTCATCAAACAAATACCAAAACCGGCTCGACTGAGAGCTCAGCCGAAACGTTTTGGTATTATCTGTGTGATGAGAAGCCTCGTTACTCGCTGTTAAATAGTTTCTTTTTGTATAAATTGGAAAAAAAAACACGTTGGATCTTGGGTCCAGACTCTTGAAAATATTGACAAGAAAAAATACTCTTCATTCAATCGGATTTTTGCTTGAATCAAAGCGAAATCCGTTTAAATTAAGAGGCTTGGTTCTTGATCTAAGCTAGATTCTGATTGAATCAAAAGTACTTTTTCTTGTCGATGTTTTTAAGAGTCTTGACGCTAGATCCAATGTGTTTTTTTCCAGTGTATCTTATCCTGGGCTGCGGAGCATCGAACATGTCTCATGAAGGACCTTCATTGCAGTATTTAAAAATATTCACACAGTTTTGAAAAAAAGGGTCGTTTATATACAACGAAACGCTTTAGGGGTGGTTATGGGGAGGTACATTTTGTAAGTGATGGAGAGGGAGGAGGTCCAAGGCTACTTTACATGATGCTTTGCGCGGTATTTTTTAAATATTTTTAAGAGGGTATACTTTCAATTTTTGCTTTTTCATTTTATTTTATTTCATTTTTTTTTTGTTCCATTTAAATATGTTTTTATTTCGTGATTCCTCTTGGTTCCGTTGCAACGAATTATATGACTGACAAATTTTCGGACAATTTATTTTGCCCCTTTATTTTCAGTGGCGTGGCGTGCTTTGCGATATATAGATTGATCGGTCATTTAAACCTATGTAAAAGTATCGATTTACAGGGTGTTCATAGCGAACACCTTAATAATCGATTATTCACCACAGCTTCAAATGAGGAAATATCGATAGATCGCAAAGCACGCCACGCCACTGCCCCTTTTTTTTTAAATTATTGATTCCATTCATTCTTGTTACTGATGGAAACGGAAAACTGGGTCTTAAAGTGATTTTTTTATCGTGATGGGAGAAGGGGGATCAGAGGAGCCATCGCATATTTTTTAGAGGGTGGGACTCTACAACAAACTTATTTTCATCAAAACTGGCAACGTCGTGAAGAGATTAAATCGCGCCAAAACGGTAAAGTATGACGGATGCAGCTTCATACAGAGGCAACTCC